TCGCTTTGGTTACTCTTGAAATCTCACCGCTTGCCTCGTGGTCTAAATTCAATTGTATTGGGAATCGTGTACCATCCACCTGGAAGTGACGATAAAACCCTTCTTGCATTGCACACCTTACCCAATCAATTGATTCTGTTCCTTCCACTAATCGCGGTGCAGGAATTATTTTAGCTGGAGATTTTAACCAATTTAAACATCGCCAGTTATGCAGCTAATCCTTTAACCTCAAGCAGTTAGTCAAAGACGCCACTAGAGGAAAGAATATTTTAGATAAAATATTTACCAACATTTCTAAATTTTATAATTCTGCTCTGGTGATTTCTCCAGTTGGACATTCCGATCATGATTCCATCGTTTTAAACCTCTCCCAGCTAACTCTTATGGTGGCACAAGGTCTATACACGTTTAGTACGAGACTCTCGCCCAATCAATCGTCGAATTGTTAGCGATCATCTGTCGAAAGTTAATTGGTTACCTTTGCACTATATGGAATCTTGTGACGAGCAGTTCCAGTATTTTTCCACCATCGTAGATAATATCATAAAGGGTGTAGATAAAAGGCAGACGGACTGCGGACGGCGGACCGCGTTTAAATAGTGCTGACTTGTTGTTTTATAATGAAATAATCCTCGTTTTAATTATAAACCTAAGAGGTTCACATGTAGAAACGGCCGATTTGCATGCGACGACTATTCTATATATGGATTTTAGAAATATTATGTATTAGGGACGGATCATTTGATGGGGTGGATTTTCATTGAGTCCAATAATTTTTTAAACATCCTAATGCTGCTCGATATTTTTCTGTCATTCAAGGCTCTTGAACGATTGTTTTATTTCGTAGGCACATATAGGTAGTAGGTATTGAGTATAGGCTATGGATCGTGATTTAAGAGAATTTTTTATAAAGTTTGGACATGCAAACGTTTACAATTGTATATATTTACAATTGTATATATTTGTCATTTCTTTAACTGGATTGAGTTATTGATATTTTCCTGACATATTTATGTAAATATAATATATTATAATATCTACTATGTAAATGTCACACAGTAATCAGTGTAACAAGCTGTTTGAAAAATGTATATATATGTGTGCAGCGTAAAGATTGGGTATTATATCATATGTATTTGAAGGCTTAGGGAAGGTTATAATTTCGTTCTACATTTATATACAGTGGAATAGTAATGTGTAAGCACTCACATGAATGGACCTTGCGGTGCGAAACTTTGGAATGAATTATCTGGCAATCTGAGAATTGCAGATTGTTTGAATTCATTTAATACCTTGATTGCTGACACTAGCCTGCTTTAGATCGATTATACTCTTTGTTATATTATATAAGATTTATATTATTGGTGTGTGTTATGTTACTTTATTCATTTACCTTTTAAATTTGCACGCCCTCCTTGGAAATCAGCATTTGCTGAGGAGTAAGCGTGTCTAAATAAAGTTTTATCTTATCTTACCTTGGCTACGTGTTAGCCTTTTAGTAAGTAAAACGGGGATTAATTTCATTATAAAAAAAAAACAAGTCAGCACAATTTAAAGTATGAAAATGACAGCAAGTGAATGTCATGTAATAGCCCCCTAATAATATTTTAATTCAATGGCAGTGTTAGGGCAGTTATATATAGAAGCACCAAAACTAAGGCGCTTTTTTGCAATATTTCCGCGAAAGTTTCGTTTCACGCGAAAGACGGCGCCTGAATAGCCTCCTATCATACATATGTATTGGATGCTGATTAAATTAAATTCCATTGCTAAAAATTCAAACAGATGAAAACATATTCATTTCACAGATCTAAGGCTGGTATATTTCAGATAATTTAAGATATTATAATTAGTTGCGGTAGTAATCATGTGTTTATAAAATGCTCCGCGGTCCGCCGTCCGCCGTCCGCGGTCCGCCGTCCGCGGTCCGCCGTCCGCGGTCCGCCGTCCGCGGTCCGCCGTCCGCGATCCGCCTTTTATCCGTCCGCTTTTTATCTACACCCTATCATAAACGAACATTTGCCTTGGAAACAATCAAAATCGATTCTAGTGACAAGCCTTGGATTACTTCCGAAATAAAATCTCTTATTTCCAAGCAGCAGACAGCATGGGCGGCTGGTAACAACCTGATGTTCAGATTCTATCGAAACAAAGTCAATACACTTTGCAAGAAGGCACGAACTTCAGTTCGTGAAGGATTTTTTCCCTCAATATGGAAGGCAGCAAATGTTACACCAATTCAAAAATCTTCACCCCCTAAAGATGTTGATTCTGACTTCAGACGAATCTCCCTCACACCAATTATCAGCAAGATTCTTGAATCCTTTCCCTACAAATGGTTTCTTAATTCCGTCTCAAAAAAATTGATCCCTTGCAATTTGGTTCACTGAAAGGTTCAAGCACTAGTATGGCATTTAATCTACATGCTACATAAATGGTATGAAGCAGCTGACAAACAAGGTAACACTATACGGATTTGTTTACTTGATTTTTCCAAGGCGTTTGATCGATTAGATAATAACATTCTTTTGAAAAAATTGAAATACATGGAAATTCATCCCGTGTTACTCAACTGGATCGCAAACTTTCTAACAGACAGACAACAAAGAACCCGTGTTGGTCAGTTATTTTCTGAGTGGAAGTTTTTAAACGCCAGCGTTCCACAAGGGACAAAGCTCGGCCCGCTATTGTTTTTGATTATGATCAATGACTTGGCTGTGGCGGATGAAACTGTTAAATTTGTTGATGATACTAGCCTTTGGGAAATATTATCAAACAATTCTCCGTCCCAGTTACCCGCTAACATCATCAGCTGCTCGGAATGGTCATCGGTCAATAATATGAAGTTAAATGTATCAAAGACCAAAGAATTTCGTGTCTGCTTTTCTAAGCTTATTCCATCGTTTGCCCCTATTATCATCCGTGGTCAAGAGGTCGACGTCGTTTCCGAGGCCAAATTATTGGGCGTTGTTCTTTCAGACGATCTTAAATGGAACCGCCATATTGACTACATTTGCAAGAAAGCCGTGAAGCGTTTGTATGGTCTGCGCCTTCTTAAAAGAAATGCTTTACCTTCTTATATCCTGATCTCAACCTATTGCACACATATTCGACCAATTGTGGAATACGCTTGTCAGGTGTGGCATTATGGCCTTCCTCAGTACCTGAGTGACCAAGTCGAAAAAATCCAAAAAAGGGCATTAAAAATGATTTTTCCTGGAACTATCTATGCTGAATGTTTGCTTAAAGCAAACTTAATGACTCTTTATGAACGTAGAACAGTTCTTTGCAAGCGCCTTTTTTCGTTGGAACCCACTCATAAACTGAATGCCTTAGTACCGCCTAAAAATTTTCAAACTTATGATCTGAGGTCGTATTCCAACCTATTAGTACCTAGGTGTAGAACTGAACGTTTTTCGAACAGTTTCATTCCTGCTGCGTCTCGTGCTTATAATAATATAAGTAAACTTTAGTTTATTATCGTAATTTTTATCTAACTTACCTATTTTTACCTGTAAATATAGAATAGATTGAATACCTACCTATGTTCTTATACCTTGTAATTCCAAAGTAATTCAGTTGTTACTGCCAGTTTGGAAATTTATAATAATAATAATAAATCCCACAAAGCATTAGGCCTAACCATTCAAAATAATCTGAAATGGGACGAACATATTCGATCCATAATCGCGAAAGGTTCCAAACGCTTGCACATCCTCAGAATTTTGCGACGAAGCGGCATTCTACCAGCTGACCTCATTAAAACATATTCCGCCCTGATTCGTTCGATTTTGGTATATAGTTGCGAAGTTTGGAGTAATTTGTTTCGCCAATACCATTCTGATGAATTAGAAAGACTGCAAAAACGAGTAATGCGTATCATATTTCCTGGCCATTCCTACGACGAAGCATTGGTGATGGCGGGTTGCGAAAGATTAGATAATAGACGAAACACAATCTGCATAAAAACTTTGAGCAAAATTATTAAACATGGCCCCCTAAAGGAACACGTGCTGCAAACCAGAGCAACTGCTCACCAATACAACACCAGGAATTTCTTCCCAAACACGATTGCAAAGATAAATAAGTAATTACAAATAGCCAACTCTCCAATCGCTTTCTTATTCCATTTTAAAATAACTTCCGCCTTTTTAAACTTTTTTATTACATTTCTGTCACTGTTTACTAGTTTATCAGTCGACTGTCATAATATTGTATATTATTGTATTGTATAATTATTCTATCTGTCCTCCCATAAAACTTCCAGATATAGACATGGGATGGGGGCGGTGAAATGTCGATTAGGAAAATGTGTGCTCGAGCGGACAGCAAAAGAAACATTGAACGATTTAAATTAAAATGTGTATTCAAGCATCAGACGTTTTATTAGTATAGGTAATCATGCGATGGCGAGTACAATTAGGGATTAATTAATAGTACGAGTGATGTTTGATTGTTTGGAAATTTTGCCAGAATTGGATGAACCGCCGGGGCGGCGGCTCGTCCAATTACATCAATATATTCTGCCAGACTTTCAACCAAAATTTGGTGCTTTTGTCCATATTTTCATTTAGTTCTTTTGCTGAAGCAAAATTTGGTGCTTTTGTTCGTATTCACATCTAGTTGCTCTAGGGCAATTTCATTTCACGCTGGTGTTTAAAATACCTTTCCGCCATTTTGTTTGTTTTGGGAATAATTGTACTCCTCTCAACCAATCAGCATCCAGTAATTTTGTCATGCTAATAACAAATAATTTATTTTACTTCCATATGTAAACAATAATTCAAAACCTGTAACGTTTTCAAGGTAATTCCTGCGAAATTTATAATTAAAATGTTCATTTAATCCTATAACCGCTTGATTTGTACTATGAAACATTTGCCTAGCATATTAAGTTAAATTAAATCCAAATGAGCGAACATCTGCATGGTTAATTATTTGGCGAAAACGTATATGAGAGAAGTAAAATTGAATTGCTGAATGCACTAGTTGGGCAAAAGATGAGTGGGACAAACGCAACTGCTGACTACCTTCCGCCATCAGGATTTTTCATCGGACTAATTTTATTTATCTGTCTGTGCATCATTGTTGGTATCATTGGAAATGTCGGAGTAATTGCTTATAACATCTTCATGAATCACTCAAAAACTCCAACAACATATTTCGTGGTAAATTTAGCGATTTCCGATGTCATTGTCTGTCTGACTTTCTTCCCTCCGTGGTTGGCAAAATATATATCAATCCTGGCGGATGTAGAAAGTAATTTTAAATTGATTTGTGAAATTGGCACGACCAGCTCATTGACTAGCGTTGCATTGTCTCTTGCAAATCTCCTGGCAATAACCGCAGACAGATGTATGTTTATCACAAAACCGTTGAGATACCCCAAGATTATGACTTGGAAAAAAACTCACATTTTGTTATTGGTTATTTGGATTTGTGCAATCCTGAATGCAATTTTCGTGTATTTCAATATAGAAGAAATACCAGAACTGACACTCTCTTGTCGTATCAAAAATGCTCAACAACAACTTTAATCTTATCAATATTTTCATACCAACTGTAGGACTATTTTACTTTAACTATAAAATCTACCGGGTAGCAAAAAAACAAAATATGAGGATAAAAGTTGAAAGTCGGATAACAAATCAATCTAAAAAACAAAAAATAGCTCAAAATGTAAAACGGAAGAAACGACTACAGCAAATAAAAATGGTGAAAACATTTGCAATCGTCCTTGGAGTGTTTGTTGCCTGTCTTTTTCCTTCAGTCATATTGTATGCAATAACGCGAATAATTTGTAAACGTTTTTGTTTACCAATGAGTGTATCGACGTCTTGTGTAATGTTAGTAGGAGCAAATTCTGTAATGAATCCTTTCATATACAGTTTAAGAAACAAAGAATACAGAATTGCTTATCGCCAGATAGTATCGAAAATCTTTAAAAACAACTGAAGGGAAACATTGTCGAACAAAGTTACAAGGGCAATATTCGTTCCTGACATGTGACTGAGCCGCCAAGATGGATTATGACATTCAAGAAATTCGCCCGACGTCCAAGTCGAAGTGATATCTGAGATGGAAAAATGATTATGATGAACATGTGCATTGTTCCATCATTCTAGCTAAGAAAATTTAAAGGTTTTTTTTTTTGTTATCATGCGTTCACACAAGATCAGATTTCGGAACCGTGCGCCAGTTCCATTTTTCACATGGGAATTGATACGGCTAGCTGCAGGAGAAATTGTGCAAAGATACTAAATTCATCCGAGCCCGATCGAGTGAAGAGAAATAAGATTCTGACAATTAACCGAGAGATTCACTAGTTAACATTTATTTTTTTCTTTTCATTGATATAAATAATGCTTAAGAAATTCATACCTTACATATGGAACACTATGTTTATCACGATGTAGAAAAGAAATACGAAAGTAAAAAGTATAAGATAATAATTTAGTTCTGGTAATTATAATATATAATAACTTAATCTTTATGAGGGCTGTTAACATCACACTGAGCCTGCGTAAAAGTTTCTTCTTCAATTTTGTTATGCAAATCGAATTGTCGCTCAAACACGCCTTGGCAAAAAGCACGAAAGGGAGAAAACACGCGGTGGGTAAAATCACGAGAGAGAAAAAACACGCCAGGAGAAAACACGCGGTGCAATAGGAAAACCACCAGAGGGGAGTGAAGGGATGAAACTCCGAGGCTTATTTCGTGTTTTATAATTGTCTATAATATAACTCATGGGAAGGCAAGTCCATGGAAGATATTAAATAATTAAGTCAGTACGAAAACGTTGTTTACATTTACTTATTTTCAATCATTTCACTTGTTTATAAACAATCAGAAAAGTAATAAAACGAAAAAATACTCCCCAAATACTCCCTTTCTCACCGCTCATTTTACATTTGCCGTTCTCGCACCGCGTGTTGCCTCGCACTGCGTGTTTTCTTACACGCAAATTTGCATACCAATCAAATTTGCATACCAATCAACTAAAAGAGAAATACGGAATCAGATGCCAGTACAAAACTCAAATGTATGACATAATAAAGAAAAAATAGAAAAACAACATGATCAACAGGCATCAAATCGTTGAAAATTCTCCGGTTTATCTGTATAATCTGTATACGTTGGCAGCTTCGATAATATAAGGATATACAGTAGAGTTAAGGCTGTTTTCCACTTCAATCGTACCGAAGCGTAACGTATTTCTTTGTTTGCTGAGCACCATAGCGAAACTAATGACTTCGATACAAAAGAATGCTACTATTTAGGTGGAAGTTACTTAGCATGGCCTTATTAGCATAACCAGTACTAGTTGTCATGGTTTATTTAACTCAATTTTGACGAAGCAGCCGACTTAAAGGAATAGTATCAGGGTCATGCATTGCGGGCTTTTGTTATTGTTTACATTTTACTTAAATACAACAAATAGCGATAAAAATACCTTGTTTGGTACATTTCTGATAAAAATCACACAAAAAAAGCAAGTATTATAAAAGGATGGTTTAAAATATGACGGATTGTAAACACTTTCCAGATCATCTAATCTATTCGTCCTGCCGGAAAAATGGTCGCCAGCAGGAGTTTGAGTCCGCGAATTCCCGGTGTGACACTAATTCTTTAATTGTACGCATGAAGGAAAGCGCGAGGTGGCACTTACAGGTTACTGTAGTACAGTTAACTTAGCAACTTCAGTCCCTGTATCTTCCGATTTTTGGGATAGAGCTCGGGCAAAGAAAGATTCAATCTTCCTCTGCGCCATACGCCCATACACTCTGTATTAAGCAAACGTGTGCAATTGTGCATTCACTTCGAGATTCACTTAGAAAGGATAATTTTTAGCGGGGGCTCAGCCCTCTGCTTCTAAAAGTTAGGGGGCTCAAGCCCCCCCCTGCCCCCGTGGTTCCTACGGCCACGTTTTAAACCATAAAATCTGCCCAAAAAGTGTGAAAAACGTAGCCTAACGATAGTTAGAATACGAAAATAAATTGCATCAAGCTCTAAAGACGTCATACCATGCACGATGTACACCAGAATTGACAATATTTTGAGAGAATGCAACTGAAAGTCACTGAACTGTTATTTGACAAGTACAAAACTTACGCCGAGAATGCTACATATATTTTTGTTTAAAATGCTCATGTATATCCGGCCACTTCATAAAAGTGAACAAATCACAGTTTAATTAAACAGATATTTTAAAGAAATATTTTCTCCTCAAACATACAATCTCAAAAGAAGGTTTAACTGCGGTAAACTAACAAATCACGAATATATTCTGTAGACTCTACCCACATTTTTCACTGCAAAATTTTCAAGCATATTAATATCCTTAATTCATACCTTAATTCTTCATTGTCCTTTTTGCAGAAAAGCGTTGATTAAATCAAAACAGATTTGTTTATATGGAGTGCATGTTTTTGATCAGCAAAGCAAGTGAACATGAACCTGTCGTTGTTGGAAGCAACTGAATTTGTCAAAGCCGAAGCGCCAAGCCTAATTAAACTTTTCATTTCTATATATATATGCTTTTCTGCTTATACCATGTTCATGAAAAAAGCATCTATATTTTACTTAAACTATATGTCCTCCTTTTTTGTGTTTCTTGTCAGTTTTCTCGAGTTTTCGTTTTTGTGTTTCTTGTCAGTTTTCTCGAGTTTTCGTGAATAGGCAGCCAAAAAATGCATGTAGAATGCCTGCATGTCAGCTACAATCCGAGCCAGTGTGCAATATTTATTTATGCATGCGATGCCCTTGAGTTGAACCTAGTATTAAATAAGTATCGTGCCTGTTTAAATTGGTACATTCTGCAGAGATCTCATGCAAGCAACAATATAACGTATATATGCGTGGGTATTTTAGTTGCAGGCTATAAGCGGTCTGTTTCCTGCAGATTTAGCCTACGTTGAAGTAAACTGTTACTTGTAGATTAGGAAAAGTATGCTCGAGCAAACAGCAAAAGAAACACAGAACGATTTAAATTAAACTGTATAATGCAAGCATTAGCTATAAACGCGTTGACTATATGAAATCGACTATCGCAAAAATTCACACTCAGTGCAGAGAATTCAAAACAATAATTTTCAAGGCAATTTCTACAAAAAATTCTAATTAAAATTTTCATTTAATCCTATAACTTCTTGACATTATACGAAACACTTGCCTAGCTTATTAGTTAAAGTTATATAATTAAGTTAAAATAATTAAGGTAATTATAAGTTAAATAATTAAGCCTGAAAGAGGGAGTATCTTCATGGTTAATTATTTGGCGAAAACGTATGAGAGAAGCAAAATTGACTCGGTGATCGCACTTGTGGGCAAAAGATGCATGAGTGGAACAAACTCAACTGCATGCTGACTATATATCTTCCTCCTTCAGGATTTTTCATTGAAATAATTTTATTTATTATATAAACATAAGTGTTATATAGAGTTTTTGCTATGAGCTTTTGGCCACTGAGAAAAATCGTATTTAAACACACGTAAAAAATACGATATCTTTACGTGTGAAAAATATCATTTGTTGTAAAACGCATTGCCATGCACGGACGTTTTATTATTGTTTTTCACTGAATTTTGTTTATATAATAAACAGAAAAATACATGGGTGCTTGGAAATACCAGATTTATTTCTCTTGTTGAACATGATATCTCATGCACTCGTTCGCTGCGCTCACTCGTCAGGTATCATGCATGTTCAACACTCGAAATAAATCTGGTATTTCCGCGCACCCATATATTGTTCTCTATTTATCTGCCTAGCTGTGCCATCATTGTTTGGTTTCACTATAATTATGATTTTCAACGATGATAATACAATTCCAACGTAATATAATAATTTTAACAGGATCCATAATAACTGCATCATTTATAATCATGCATGTCACGATTATAAAACTATAGATTTGTTGACGAAAAGGGCCCGGTTGTGTAAAACTCTTAATAACTTTTTTAATCACTATTTTGTAGTTAAATAGTGATTAACTCTCAAATACGCGCTTCTTATCACAGGGAGCCCATCCCGGGTCTTATTGAAGTTATGTATTAGAATTACGTATGAAATATATAGCTCAGTGTTGAAGCCTGCGACTTGCGGGCTGTGTGCGGGCTAACGTGCGCTTTGAATACACAATAAAGAAAATAATCAAGGGATGAAACATCGACGAGTGCCTGGAAGCCCAGAATTCAAAGCACAATATCAGTGTGTTTAAATAAAAAGGTCAGAGTTTTATTACGTTGTAAGGTCCTCTAGGGCCTGTTCTTTCATATCGTCTAGCCAAAACCTTCCAAATAGTTGCTAACGAGGAGAAATATTTCGATTGATCGCACAGCAGTGTATGGTTGGATATGTCTGGATGTGTTCCACAGGTTGCTATGACATGCTTAAATGCTTACTTATTTCCTACTACACACTCCACAGATGTCTAAAATCATATGGAAAATATTAAATAGTATTGTTAGTAGCTGTTGGCATATTCGAATATAAAACACATATAAAATTTTAGACACATACAAAACAAAATTTCAAAATCAGTGATCAGCCGATCAGCCGGCCGTGAGAATTTCAAAAAATATGTGAATTAACTAACCAGTAAACCGCAATATTTTTTGGATTTTCCAAATTATTGCATATGACAAGCTTGTAATCAGAAAGGTAATTTATGAAAGAAGTTCTTTTGTTGAAATTTATAGAAACTTAAATCGATCATTTCTCAATGTCATAGCAACCTATGGAACACATGCTTCCAGGCACTCGTCGATGTTTCATCCCTTTATTTTTTCCTTTATTAAGCATTCAACACATGCTTAGCCCGCACACAGCCCGCAAGTCGCAGGCTTCAACACTGAGCTATATATTTCATACGTAATTCTAATACATAACTTCAATAAGACCCGGGATGGGCTCCCTGTGTTCTTATTGGATGACATTTCCACTAACTATAGTTAACTTTAATCACTTTTTTATACAACCGGCCGCAGAGGTTTTATAGTTGAGCGTAAATCGAAAATAAAATCACTTGCAATGTAATTAACAAAGTACATAAAATATTTTAAAGTTTGAAGGCATCTAATTCTACACTCTCTAGTCTAGAGTGTCGATTATAATTTATAAATTATGTATATATACTTGTGTAATATTAATTCCATATCTTGCATCATGATTTGTTTTGAAATTTTATTCGTTCTGAATGAATTCACTACTATAGCTATATATACTGTATATATAAAACTTGGATCTGGAGAAAAACTGACGGTCCCACACTTCAGTTGCCTTTAAAAAGTCTTGCGCAAAATTGACGATAAGCAATCTTGTATTCTTTGTTTCTTGAACTGTATACGAAAGGATTCATTACAGAATTTGCTCCACTGAGCATTGCAGCAGCCACTGACATACTAATTGGAATACAAAAACTTTTGCAAATATCTCGCCTTATAAATGCTAGAATAGCTACGGGAGAAACACAGCAGTAGAATACACCAACGACGATTGAGTAGGTTTTAATTGTTTGAAGTTGACGTAGTTTTTCCTTCCATGTTGCATTTAGTCCTACGTCTTGATCTGAAGACTCATATTTTACATCATTATTAGATGCTGTACAACTTTCATGTCGAATTTTCCTTCTCTGATTTTTTGCTGCTTTGTAGATTTTATAATTTAACAACAACAACCCTGCACTTGGTATGTAAATATTGAAGAAGCATAGGATAGTTCGTGTAGGATCAGCAATACGGCAAGATAGTCTTCGTCCTGTTTTTTCTTCTGTGTAGAAAAACAGAAGATTTGCATTCACGATTGTTAAAACCCAAATTGCCACTAACCAAACATATGTTTTTTTCCAAGTCATTATTTGGAAGTATTTTAGCGGTTTAGTGATGAATATACATCTATCTATATTTATTGCCATAAGATTTGCGACAGACAATGCGAAACTTGTAAATGAACTGGTAAATGCAACTTTACAAAACAATCGATGGCTCATAATTTCTCTATCTGTCAGTATTGAGATAAATTCCACTAACCACGGAGGAAAGAATGTAAGACAAACAATGATATCAGAAATTGCTAAATTTACCACGAAATATGTTGTAGGAGTTTTCGAGTGATTCATGGAGATGTTATAAGCAATTACTCCGATATTTCCGATGATTCCAACGATGATGCACAGACAGGCAAAGATAATCAACGCAATGAAGTATCCTGAAGATGGAAGATGCGTGTCAGTTGAGTTTGTTCCATTCATCATTTTATTTCTTCACTACTTTTTCTCTGAATGTTTTCATTTATAAGACGAACAATTATCGACTGTCTGTTATTAAAATATTTATAGCTTTTAACTGCTACACGACAGTACAGTACTTATATAGCGATGTTAATTTGCATGAAACTCACTATAGCCAGCTGATGATTCTAATAAATGATGTAAGTGGTTTTATTCTATCATCTGCATGTCCTTATAATATAATTACATATTATACTGACTGTTCAGCTTTATAGCTTGATCACCCTGAAAAATCTCCCGACGTTTCGAGCTCTAAATATAACATGCAGTCAGAGGCCTAGCTAGGATTTTTGGTCAGGGGGGTCAGCAAAAACCCAGGTGGGGCCAAAAAATTTTCCGGACCACAACATTTTAAATCTCTCTCCCCACCGCTCGCGTTAAAAATTCACTGGTAAAAAAACCAGATTGGTTGAAACTTCATCTAACCCTCATTTAATTGATACTGAAATAATTATGGTTAGAAAAGGTATGTGTTTCAAGCTGTGTGCCGCAAATAAGCGAACAAGATTTTAGGTTTCACACCGATGCGCAGTAAAGCATATATTGACCAGTGGCGGAAATTCACTTTTCCGGGGGGGGGAGGGGGCAAAGCCTCCTAAATTTCCGACAAAACTTTCAAATTTCCGACAACCCCCCCCCCATTTGCACTCGAAAAGACTGTTTTTAGCCCTCTTTTAGGTCAAACTTTCCGAAAATTCGTGAACTTTCCGTGAAGGTGGGGGGGGGGGGGCGGTCGCCCATCCGCCCCACCAAGATTTCCGCCATGCAAGATTTCCGATTTGCATTATTGACAGCATGAAGCTATATAATCAAGGACTCCCTTTTTTATACAATAAATTTTATCAGGGGGGGGCAAAATTTTGCCAGGGGGCCAGGCCCCCCGGCCCCAGCCCTGGCTACGCCTCTGCATGCAGTTGTTATATAAAGAGAATATATCAAAATCGTGTATTTTTTAAAAGAAGAAAAAGATTTATTATATGGCAAGCATTTGTTTTGGTGAATCGTGCAATTCGATTGGCTGCTCATGACGAGGCAGGATTTTCCCGTATTGCCCACAGGCAATATGCAAACTCATGAAAATAAATCGTAAAATATTTATTTGAAAAGGATTTTTAGATCAACAAATGTGAACAGCATTTATAACAATACAACAAAAGCTTGCCAACGACTCATGTTATATGCGCATGTCCAATTACTAGTTCTCAGTCATTACACTGTCCTTCCCTCAAGACGGTTCTTCCGAAAAACAAGTTCTCAGGAGACTAGGAGAGGATATTCGAGAATTTCTACGCGATTTTGAAATATTTGTTGCTGTGAACGAATGGTCGGATGTACCCTGCGAGCAAAGTCCTCTCGTATTTCTTCTCGGCACGGCACGGAGAAGCGAGAGAGACTCTGCAGAACTTATGTATAAATGCATTTGAGCATGCGCGAAGGTTGCTAAGCAACTGCCTATTTCCCAGAAGAAGATTTAATAAGTAGTCTCCGGTTCGGATCAGAACCGGTTATAAAACCAGTATCAAACCTGAGATTACGCATAATTATCCAAGTTTTTGGATTGTCGGTTCCAAAAAGAATTACACAAGTTCTGCAGAGTGTCTCTCGCTTCTCCGCGCTGCGCAGAGAAGAAAAACGAGAGGACTTTGCTCGCAGGATAGGTCGGATGTGAAAGCTGGGCAATATTTGGCAGGGTTTTTGATGTCAAGGTCTGCATGACTTCAAAATCATGCAGACCTTGATCAATTTTAAGCTTTATTAATTTTAAGCAGCTACATTATCCATGACAAACTGCAAAGAATGAAGATAGTACCCACAGTTTCCTGCAACTTATCCTAGTTATCCAATATATAGCAAATTAAATATGCCTTCGCCCATTTAGTACTACCAAATTGTCAATTTCGACATACTAAAACGCTGTTTTCTGACCATCAGAATTCTGTCAAATCTTCCCCCAAAGGCCAGGAAATGGCATTTCAGAGACTCTAGATTTAAAAATTTCCTCGGGCCTTCGGCCCTCGCTTTCAGCCCCCCAATCAAAAAGAGATTCCTACAGTTCCTACGGACCCTGAAACGCTATGGAAACGACACCGTGTGGATTATTAGTTAGGATGAGGGGTCAAAAAATTTTCAGTAAAAAAAATAGGGGGTCATAATTTTTTATCAACTTTTGTCTTGGGGGTTCCAAGTTTTCACATCGAATTAGACATCAGTTCCTCCGGCCCACCCCCCCAGCTAAAAAATGAATGCTCCCTTAGACCTTACTGTTAGAGGCATCCATCAATTTTGTTCCAGCCGAATGATGAAACTTAATCCAAGAAAATGCAAAGAAATGCTACTCAACTTTATGCTTAATCCGAATATTGTAGAGAATCCAATATTTATCGGTGATCAAGAGGTTGAACGGGTTTCAACCTATAAGCTTTTAGGTGTCGTACTTAAGGCTGCATTCCAGTTACGCGTTTTTCATACGTGCGTACACGCACGTAAAAGTTGAATTCGCTTTACATCTTACTTATGAAATAACTAAATTTATAAAAGGACAGAATTCAGTTTTGTGTATGATTTAATGTGTATTTGTTAAGGTTATTTGCACTTATATGAAATTTTAAGCGAATTCAACTTTTTAACTTTTACGTGCGTGTACGCACGTATGAAAAACGCGTAACTGGAATGCAGCTACCTTTAGTGATGACCTAAAATGGAATAATCACATTGATTATATCGTCTCGAAACTCGAAAGCCAGCAAACGTTTATACGGCCTTAGACTTATGAAACGGGTTGGTGCAAAACCGTCAGTTATTCTTAAGATATATAAGAGTACTGTTAGACCAATCCTTGAATATGCAGTGCAAGTGTAGCAAAACATACCAGGATATTTGTCTGATCGTGTCGAGAGTATACAAAAAGAGCGTATAATATAATTAATATATCCTGATTGTACGTACAATGAGGCACTCCTGCTTACTAAGGAGTCTCTATTGGCTGATCGAAGGAGAATGTTGTGTAGAAAACTGATGTCAGAAATGTGCACTGTGAATGAACACCCATTGTCATTTCTACAGTCAAAATTAGAAGAGAGAACAGTGCCATACAACTTAAGATCTGGCCAATATCATTATGAAAGAAAGATGGAAAGCCAAGCGGACTGAATCCTTTTTTACATTTAAGTATGAGATGGACTGAAATAAGTTTCTGTTTTATTATACTTAGTTTTATATCTTTCATGAGTGTATATATAATGATATATAATGTAATAATGACATTTAAATTGTATTTTAACTGTTGTATTTACCGTGCACTTGCTAATTCAGTATTTTCTGCAAGAGAGTGGAATAAACACCATCTATCTATCTATCTATCTAAACAGAGGCCTGGTCCCAAACCCTCCGATATCTGCAGGGCATGTAACGTTCGTGGACATTGGGCACGCAACTGTCCTTCTTTAAATTAAGGAGGGACTGGCCGCAGACCCCCGGTTCAGCCCTAAAGAGTCAGAAAGGGGTCATGTGCCCATATAGAAGCCCCATACCACAAACTAAGATTAATACAGTACACACCACTAGAGTACAAAGGGGAAGCTATCATGTGGAAAGAATTGTAAATGAGCTCAGAACAAATTTTCTGGTAGACACTGAGGCAGAAGTTAGTTCAATTTGTGCAAAGTACTGTTCCAGGTTTAGAAGTTAGAGAATCCTGCATAGCACCAGTTTCAATAACTAACCAACCTATTACAATTCAAGGTGAAACTGACATGAATCTTAGTTTAGGGTCGTTAAAAACTAGTTGGAAATTTTTGGTTGTAAACAACCTTAAAGAGTCGGTTTTGGGAGCAGACATTATAGAAAGTCATTATACTACTTCATGGGGTATTGCAGATAACAAATTGTGGCTTGATGACGTAGGAATACCACTAATGGGTATTAAAAACGTTGGTATGGTGAGAGACGACAACCACTCATCAGTGGTAGCCAAATGTACTGTGGAACTACCAGCTCGGCACCAAGCAATAATCCCCATGCGTGCTAAAGATAACCAACTAAAACACTAGGTGGAGTATTATTGAGCAAAACAGCAGTAGAAGGAGGAAAAGATGGAAGTTTTTGGGTTCGAGCTGTAAATTTGACTTCTAATCCTGTCACACTATACAAAAATCAAAGAACCGGGATCATTTCAGAGATCGAGGACATGTCAGAACCACTTCATCTTAATCGAATTAAGGGAAGAAACATCTACAGTTTCCAATGTCAGAACAGATCATGGTTGCGCAACAAGTACGGTAAGTGAAATTGGTGTGGATTTGACCAAGAATGAGTTGAATTCATTCCAGTCAAAGCAATTAGAGAAACGCAGTAAAAGCAATTAGAGATATCGTAGAATATCCATTAGTCCTCGGGGATATCGCTACTGCCTCGTAAGGATTGACCATTTTACGAAATGGTTGGAAGTGTTCCGCCTAAGGAATCAGAAAGCAGAAACTGTGGCAAATAAGGTGCTTGATGGGTGGATTCCAAGACATGGCGACCCCAAGCAACTTCACCATGATCAAGGAAAGAACCTATCAGCAAAAATGATCGAAGAAGTCTGTAACTTCCTGGAAGTTTGGAATACGCGCACTACACCATTCCATCCCCAATCAGATGGCGCTTCGGGGAGAAGTATCCGCACGGTGAACAACATGTTAGCAAAAGTAGTTGCAGATGACCAAAGAAACTGGGACTTACATGTATCTTCGTCATGTTTTGCGTACAACACTGCGGTACATAGCAGCACCGGATTGACGCCAAGTTATTTAGGGTTTTGGAGGGAGCTTCGGTTGCCGAACGACGGTGTGGAGCCAGGTGAAAATGAGAGACGTGTCGAATCACACACGGAGTATGCTCAACAGCTAAAGAACAGACTATCAAAAGCGTTTCAAACCATTCACTCTGCACACAAAACACAGAAACATTTCTATGATCGATGGGCAAGGGCCAACGTTTACAAGGCAGGAGATCGAGTGTTGTGGCTTGATAGGAAAACCGGACGAGGAAGGTGCATGAAGTTAAACAGACCTTGGAGAGGACCGTGGAGGATAATCAGACGACTGGGAGAAGTTGTGTACTGGATAAAGTACGAAGGAAATGAGAAAGTTAGCGTCAAGAGACGAGTTGTCCACCACAATCAATTGAAAAGGTTTCATGACGTCCGAGAACCTGACACGGCGGATAATAACAGCGTGGATCCAGAGGAAGAGCGACTCGCCAGGAACTGGTGATGCAGTTGTAGTCATTGAAGGCCCCTCCCCCATTGAAGGTCCAGATGTTGCTGCTCCAATTGAAAACGTAGAACAGGATAATCATAATCCGGCCGAGTAACCTGAACCAACTAACGACAATGAGAGACCACAGCGAGAACGAAGACCTCCAGAATAGTTTGTTAACAATGATATGAACTTTTAAAAACTGTGGGACCGAGTTTTATCTAGAGGGAGGATAGTGTAAGGTATGGGCTACCTGTAGCAGACATGCGCAGTGAGATTGAGACAACAGTGTTACAGTGAGATTGAGACAGCATGTTGAGATTCTAGTTTTTGGTTGTTTTCCGACTGATTTTACATGTAATAACTTTTTATTAAATTGTTATAATACAATTCGTCGTATTGTTATTACATATACCATATCAAAAATTGCTGAAGAGTTTGTTGTACAAGAGCATGTGAAACCTGCTGTTTTGAAGCTCATTCGATCTGACCAGTATGGTTGCGTTCCCTTTTCATCCACTACCTCTAATATACCTGGTTCACCATTGGCTCGAAGCAACTGATAGTGCTACGGATTCAGAAGTACAGAGTGATTTTTATTGATTATAGAAAAGCATTCGATCTTATAGACCCCAACTTGCTGCTGTGTAAATTGAAAAGCTATGAAATCAATCCCTTTATCTTAAATTGGATTCTTATTTTCTAAGCGACCGAAAGCAAAGAGTTAATTTGGAGAACGACATCTTCTCATGTTGGGATGAAATTCTGGCCGGCGTACTTCCAGGGAACTAAATTAGAGCCATGGCTTTTCTTATTGAGGATTAATAACTTAGAAATAAAATCATCAAACGGTAATGCGATTCATAGTTTCGTTGACATGCAATACAACATCCTTTGAAATCGTAGAAAAACATGGGAAAGCACCGCACAAGTTATTGTTGACGGAATATCTGATCGGATAAATCATAGGCTAACAAATTTCAGATTCAACCAAAAATGTAAAGAAATAAGAATTTCCTCTAAACAGGCTTTCAATGATTTGCACATAAATGGCAATGAGGCAATCCTATCGCAGTTGTGGACTCCTTTCAAGCTCTGGGTTTGACCATTCGGAGTAATCTTAAGTGGGATCACATGTCGGAACAATTTGCAAAAAGGCGTCAAAGCGTCTTTATACTTTCTATCACATTTGAAACGAACAAATGTTCAAACCATGGATTTAGTGAAATTCTGTGCCACTTGTATTTGTCCTGTGCTGTGTCATGCATGCTTGTGAAGGCTTTAATTTCAGTTTATACAAGAGAAATTAAACTTGTCCTTGAAACGCATTCAAAAAAGAACAATGAGGTAACCATGGATTTGACATACCGTATGATGTTGCCCTGAATCTATCGAGCCTGGAAAGATTGTCAGTTTGTCGGGACAAACTTTGTGATGATTTTCTGCAAAAGATTTCCGTCAATACAGAAGATAAACTTTTAAAATACTTACCACATAATATAAACATATATTTACCCTTAAGAATTATTCGTCGAAGGCGAGGTGATTATCGGTGAATAAAAACCGAGACGAAGTCGAGGTTCTTATTCACGATAATCACAGAGCCTGGGTTAGGTGATTATCGCGTTATAATCACCTCAACGGCAACCAATCAGCGTGGAGAATTTTCAATAATCACCTATGAATAATTATACTAAAAACAAATAATAAAAGCTAAGTCTACGAATATAATCATGTAATGTTTAAACTTTACAGGTTAACCAATCATATTTCAGATATACTGCAGGTGAACATCTAATATGTCAGATATACTATACAATTGAAATAAGCAAATGTCAATATAGTACAAGTTGAGCATTAGCCATCATTTATACCGATATGTATGATAGGTTAACGGCTTATATATCATCTTATATATAGCGTCTGAATAATATTCAGGTATAAAATAAGCTCGTGTAATACGTACAACCGGAGAGAGTTGGATCGAGGAATAAGACTTTGTCTTTATAGCATATACTCTTTGGGTTGTTTGAAAAGATGAACGGGTCAAATTCAACAGATGACTATCTTCCATCGTTAGGATTTTTCATTGCAATGATTATCTTTGCAAGTCTGTGCATCATTATTGGAATCATTGGAAATATCGGAGTAATTGCTTATAACATCTTCATGAATCACTCGAAAACTCCAACAACATATTTCGTGGTAAATTTAGCAATTTCCGATATCATTGTCTGCCTCACTTTGTTTCCTCCATGGTTGGTAGAATTCGTCTCAATCCTGAAAAGTACATTAATTATGAAACATCGATTATTCTGTAAAATTGAAATGACCACTACATTTACATGTATTGCATTGTCTGTCGGAAATCTTCTGGCTATAAATGTAGATAGATGTATTTTCATTACTAAACCGTTAAAATATCCTAGTATAATGACTTGGAAAAGAGCCTACATTTTGTTAGCAGTAATTTGGATTTTGGCTTTTATTAATGCAAAGCTTACCTTTTTCAACACGGAAGAAGTACCGGGCAGAAGACTTATATGCTATATAACTAATCCTGAACGAAATATCCTAAACTTCATCAACATTTACTTACCAAGTGCAGGATTGCTGTACCTTAACTACAAAATCTACAGAGCTGCGAAAAATCAGAGCAGGAAAATAAGAGATGGAAATTGTGTCCCAACTAGTGATGCAACTCAATCTACACGTCAAACCCCTGGAAATACAGTACGGAAAGAACAACTACGCCAATTGAAAATAATTAAAACCTTTTCTATCATCCTTGGTGCATTTTATTGTTGCATTTCCCCAATTGCCATTTTATCGCTTGTAAGCCTAGAAATTTGTAAAAGCTCTTGTATTCCGATAAGTGTGACAGTGGCTGCTATAATACTCACTGGAGCAAATTCTGCAATAAATCCTTTCATTTACAGTTCAAGAATCAAAGAATACAAGATTGCATATCGACAAATTTTCTCAAGACTTCGTGCTATATCGGGCAGAGAACAAAAAAAATTTAGCTGGGACGTGAGACAAGGAAATTAAATACTATATACAATTAAAACTTCTATATATATATAGTAAAAAGGCGCATGTAATGTAAAAACCTTTCTCGTAGAACCTCGACTTATAACCAAAAGGGATGAAAGATGAAACATATAAAAATATCGGCAGACTGATACGCGGACCATGCATGCATGCATGCAGTTTGTCGCTATTACAGTGCATGAGTTTTAGTGATATGGACAATATTCTAAGATAGACTATGATTTTGACGAAGTGCTTTAGTTGTGTGTAAACCGTGTGCGTATCTTAGATACGATGCCTATCTTATAGATATGACGATGTGTCAGTACTTAGATAAACTTTAGATCAAATTATTATGTTGAATCGGAAGCAGTTAGTTTTGGCCAGTGTATATAGTCCATTGTACTCTTTAATTTGACCTAACGCACGAAGACTGACGCTTTGCGATGTAATTTGGTAGTTTATACGTACTCACCGAAATCGTTAGAGGGCAGGCAAAAACCTCTCCAAAACCCGAAGAGAATCTATTCTGAGAGCTTCCATAATGCATATGTGCGTTGACCTTTAGAGTTTAGACATGACTTCATGCAAACGAAACTCTATGTTTTTGTGTTTTAAAAATCAGTTCATTGATCGTTATTCATTCCTCCATCAGTCTAGCTAAATTCGCCGCGAGTTTAAACGATTTCAATTTTAACTCGCGACTTAATATACGATTTTAGGCGATTTGGGATCCCAGAGTAGGCCTGCCAGTATATAGACACCTTCTGAATTTGCTTGAGTGAGCACGAAACAATAGCTTATAAAATCGAGGCGGGCAATGTAATCCATTCGGCCGTCTGTTAGTTTCCAAACCTATGGCTTACGGTTATTTATCTGACGTGGCATTCATTCGTTTCAACACCTTATACTAAGTTTGCTCAGCTTTCTTTACTTCTGTCACAGAACGTTCTCTCATTGGTCCACTGCCTGCTTCTCTCTCTTCAATTACTTTTCCAATCTCTCTTAATTTGGATTTTTAACTCACGGTTCGCAACAACATCTGTAAATCTTTGTTGTTACTTGAGTGCATGTTGGGCAGTTAAACAATAATAATAATTTTATTTCACCAGTAACATGTTTACATCAATTCTACATACATATACGTACATGACAGTGTCGTATTTCTTATTACATTTAGCCAGTTGGTTGATCTAGTATATTTATTTACCTTCATATATATGTAAATGCATATGCCAGTGGCAAGGAAGCCCAATAGAGAAACCTAATTATAGCTTATTTTTATCAGGCTTCCTTATATATATATATATATATATATATATATATATATATATATATATATATATATATATATATATATATATATATATATATATATATATATATATATATATATATATATTGAAGTAGATACATTTAACAGTAGCTACATAACGAAACATTCAATAACGAATACTATTTGAGATACATAAAACAAACAAACAAACAAACAAACAAACAAACAAACAAACAAACAAACAAACAAACAAACAAACAAACAAACAAACAAACAAACAAACAAACAAACAAACAAACAAACAAACAAACAAACAAACAAACAAACAAACACATGCACCATAATTAACTGTAATAACTTTACAATATTTCTCTGTCATTATATTTAAATCAAATTGTTCATTATATATATATATATATATATATATATATATATATATATATATATATATATATATATATATATATATATATATATATATATATATATATATATATATATGTGACAAATGCCAGTACTCTGCTCAGCCGACAAGACTTCATATGTAACAAACAAAACGGCTACGTTTGAAGAAGTTTATTAAAAAAAGGTATATTAAATACAAAAACTAAATTTTCGGCTGCATGCCACAGCCTTCTTCAGAGTGCCTATAGCTTTACACAGAACATACTTATATACAATAAATTATGAATAAATTACTATTGTTGGGCGAAATCATGACTACCATTAAGGCCCTTCCGGTTGGTCAACAACATTCCTATCCAAAAGTTTTCACTCTTAAGTACTTCACTATGGTGTTGGTCAATAAGCATAAATTTTAAGCTCGAATGATCCGCCTCATGCACATCAATAAAATGATTTGTTATACTGCATGTCCGGCGCTTATGCTTAATGTGTGATTTGTAGTTAGCTAGTCTGGACTTAAAATTGGCCGTAGAGCCAACACCTTGCAAACCACAAAGCACACACTCAGCAAGATACACTACATTACTGGAAGTGCACGTCAAAGATTTTAAAATGAGAAATATCCTTCCAGTGGCAGCTGCACGAAAGGAATTGCCAAAAATCAAAAAGTTCTTACAACTATCACAGCGCTTGGCATCACATTTGTAGCAGCCTTCACCTTCCAGTTTATTAGGCTTATATGGGTTAGATGGTGCTAATAACTCCTTCAAATTGGCATTACGCTTATACGAAACAAGAATGGCACCCTCCGGTAGAATTTTTTTGGCCTGTTCATCACTATCTAAAACAGAGCGATGTTTGCGAAAAATTTTTTGAATATCAGGAGCACTGGGATTAAACTTGGTAACAAAAACACAGGAATTACGACGAACTTTACGTCTACTGGTACGCGCTTCCTCACGAGTCATAGCACCAACCACCTCAAAGGCTCTATTGACATGTGCACTGTCATGGCCGCAATCCGTGAGATATTTCCTATAAATCCTACTTTTTTCCCAAAAATCAGCGTCCCTAGAGCATATGCGACGCAATCTCAATGCCACTCCTTTGGCAATACCCAAAATTTGAGATTTTGGGTGCGACGAATTGGCATTGAGATACAAGTGTGCGTCCGTGGGCTTACTATAAACTGTAGTTTCCATACGATTGTTAACTATGGAAATCAAAAGATCGAGAAAATGCAAACTACGCCCACCCACATCCATAGTAAACTGTAGATGCGGGTCGAATGTGTTGAGATCCTGAAAAAACGCTTGAAGCCGTTCCATGGTACCCCGCCATAACACAATCGTATCATCTCGAAATCTAAACCAACATCTCAGTTCAGGATAAATAGAACGAGATTCCAGAACTTTTTTTATCTATCTCTTCTGCGACAATATCGGCATATGAGCAGGAATTCTTAGGTCCCATAGCAGTACCATTTTCCTGCAGCCAATATTGCCCTCGATACATGGAACATTTTTTCTTCAAGCAGATTTCCAAAGCTTCAATAACACACTCTATAGGCACATCGAAAACCTCAGCATATTGCAAAAGTTTACAACGTACTCGCTCTATTCCCGTCTGATTGTCTATAGATGGGAACATATTAGTGATATCAAAACTAACTAAGAGATCCTCATCCGATAGCCCCGTTAAATTAAGCTCATCCACAATATCTAGCATATGTGTGGTATCTCGGACGCGACAAGAAATAGAATCTAAAGCTATTTTACAATATTTTTCAACGAACAAAGATAAATTCTCTGTGGGCGTACTACATCCCGAGGTAATGACCCGTGCGGGATTGTCAACTTTGTGAGTTTTAATCAAAGGGTAATTAATACCTGGATGTGTGTTATTAGTGTTAGTAATGAACTTAATCCACTTAGCAGACAAACCCATAGGTTGCCATTTGTTTATCCATTGTTCAATCTCTAAACCAGTCTCAGACGATGGTTCGTAGCCTACGTTTTTAAAACAACCACGCTCCATCTGTTCTTTAACCTTATCAGCATCAAGTTTATTATCCAGAAATACAAAATTGCAAGTTTGCTAAATCAACAGCAAAAGAGGTAAGCGATAATCTATCAGTGGAAGAACGGACAGCCCTAAAAAAGTTTCGTTCCACTCCTTTTGAAGAACGAGATCTTATAGTGAGATTACAAGACAAGAGTAACAATTTTGTATTTCTGGATAATAAACTTGATGCTGATAAGGTTAAAGAACAGATGGAGCGTGGTTGTTTTAAAAACGTAGGCTACGATCCATGGTCTGAGACTGGTTTAGAGATTGAACAATGGATAAACAAATGGCAACCTATGGGTTTGTCTGCTAAGTGGATTAAGTTCATTACTAACACTAATAACACACATCCAGGTATTAATTACCCTTTGATTAAAACTCACAAAGTTGACAATCCCGCACGGGTCATTACCTCGGGATGTAGTACGCCCACAGGGAATTTATCTTTGTTCGTTGAAAAATATTGTAAAATAGCTT